CTGTATCCTCAAGAGGAAAAGAAGATATTTGCTGGTTGTCTTTTGTAGCAGTAATACTACTAAAACTACTATATATCAACCGCTGATTCAGGAAATATTGTACTTTAAATATTTCAGTCTCTTGATCACTAATGTCACTGTTATTCCCACAAGAAATACACGTAAGCTTCTATTATCAGCACACTCAATAGACAAAGAATTCTCCTGCAGTGTCCGTTAATGCTACTTGCTAAATTTTGTACAGCACAGTAAATAGATTAATCAGACGATCTCAAGAGAGCTGTGTCTGATGTTTAAAGTAAAACCATAACTCACTGCATAGTTTAACTTAGGCCACTGTTATCTGGTCTGAAAAGAATATTCAAATGTGGGGGGGTTCTGTAAGAGTTTGGGAGGTGTAAATGTTATAATATTGTACTCATAACAAATGCAAATATTTCGACTTCCTTGGTAAAGCAAAATTGGGAGAAAAAAAAAACAATAGGATCCATTATCATTAGACAATACTTACCAGAAAGAGAAATATTGCCTGACTTAATGAGGTACAGTTTGACCTCTTCAAGCTACCCGATCCCGAAGGGATCACTAAAATAACATATCCTTGATCTGAATGTATTAAATATTCTTCTGAAATACTTTGTTCTTTACATAGTTGAATGTGCTGACAACAAAATCACACAAAAATTAAAAATGGAAATCAAATTTTTTAAACCCATGGAGGTCTGGATTTGGAGTCACACTCAAAATTAAAGTAGAAAAACACACTAGAGGCTGATCCAACTTTGATGTAATGTCCTTAAAACAAGTCAGAATGAGGCTCAGTAATGTGTGTGGCCTCCACGTGCCTGTGTGACCTCCCTACAACGCCTGTGCATGCTCCTGATGAGGTAGCAGATGGTCTCCTGAGGGATCTCCTCCCAGACCTGGACTAAAGCATCTGCCAACTCCTGGACAGTCTGTGGTGCAACGTGACATTGGTGGATGGAGCGAGACATGATGTCCCAGGTATGCTCAATTGGATTCAGGTCTAGGGAATGGGCGGGCCAGTCCATAGCATCAATGCCTTCGTCTTGCAGGAACTGCTGACACACTCCAGTCACATGAGGTCTAGCATTGTCTTGCATTAGGAGGAACCCAGGGCCAACTGCACCAGCATATTGTCTCACAAGGAGTCTGAGGATCTCATCTCGGTCCCTAATGGCAGTCAGGCTTCCTCTGGCGAGCACATGGAGGGCTGTGCGGCCCCCAAAGAAATGCCACCCCACACCATTACTGACCGACTGCCAAACAGGTCATGCTGGAGGATGTTGCAGGCAGCAGAACTTTCTCAATGTCGTTTCCAGACTCTGTCACATCTGTCACATGTGCTCAGTGTGAACCTGCTTTCATCTGTGAAGAGCACAGGACGCCAGTGGCAAATTTACCAGTCTTGGTGTTCTCTGGCAAATGCCAAACGTCCTGCACAGTGTTGGGCTGTAAGCACAACCCCCACCTGTGGACGTCGGGCCATCATACCACCCTCATGGAGTCTGTTTCTGACCATTTGAGCAGATATATGCACATTTGTGGCCTGCTGGAGGTCATTTTTCAGGGCTCTGGCAGTGCTCCTCCTGTTCCTCCTTGCACAAAGGCAGAGGTAGCAGTCCTGCTGCTGGGTTGTTGCCCTCCTATGGCCTCCTCCACGTCTCATGATGTACTGGCCTGTCTCCTGGTAGTGCCTCCATGCTCTGGACACTACGCTGACAGACACAGCAAACCTTCTTGCCACAGCTCGCATCGATGTGCCATCCTGGATGAGCTGCACTACCTGAGCCACTTGTGTGGTTTGTAGACTCTGTCTCATGCTACCACTAGAGTGAAAGCACCGCCAGCATTCAAAAGTGACCAAAACATCAGCCAGGAAACATAGGAACTAAGAAGTGGTCTGTGGTCACCACCTGCAGAACCACTCCTTTATTGGGGTGTCTTGCTAATTGCCTATAATTTCCACCTGTTGTCTATCCCATTTGCACAACAGCATGTGAAAATGATTGTCACTCAGTGTTGCTTCCTAAGTGGACAGTTTGATTTCACAGAAGTGTGATTGACTTGGAGTTACATTGTGTTGTTTAAGTGTTCCCTTTATTTTTTTGAGCCGTGTATAATTTTGTGAACAAGCAAAGAAGAAATATAAATGTCACAATAGAGAGAATCGGGGAATTTAGGGTACAAATACAAGATATATTCTGCAGTTGTCTGTAATCAGAACTAGCTTATCTTTACTTTCTAATTGTTCTTAGAACATATCTTAATATATGGAAAAAGGGGAGAAAGGTAGCGCTAATAGTCAGGGATGGACTGACAGCCTTCTGGGCCCCCGGACAAAATCCGGGAACCTTCTAAGACAAAATATAAAGTAAATGTTAAATATAACTTTAAAAAAAAAACACGTTCAGGGTTTTTCCGTGAAGTGAGAATTGCTGGGAAAAGTAAATTTTAAAATACAGACTTAAATAGCTGTATTAAAAAATTCACCACGTCAATTTTAAAGCTTCGAATTTCTGGCATCTTACTTTAATGAATAACCCTGTGTACATTCCTTTGATAATTTCATATTATCATTCAGGGGCTTAACTAGGCTGAGCAGGGCCCCAGTGCAAGATTCAAAGAAGGGCTCTCTCGTTGCCCCTCCTTGCTCCTTACGTAGGTTATCTGTGATCACAGTGTGTGGTTGTGCGAGGGTTAGCAGAGTATGATTGTGCATGTGACTTGGCTGAGTGTAATTGTGGTGGTTAACGGACTGTGATATTTATGTGTGGAGTTGGCTGAGACTGATTGTGTGTTCATGTGGGATTGGCTGAATGTGAGTGTGTGTTGCAGTTGGTGGAGTGTGATTGTGTGGGGGTTGTGTGTGTAATAATAATACATTATAATTGCAAAAACAGACACAGGTGCACAAAGACCCAGGTAGGTACCCACAGTGACATACACATGCACAGACATATACACAGGCATGCACACACAGGCATGCACACACAGGCAAACACAAGCACACCGACTGGATACACAGGCATTGACAGGTACACACAGATGCAGTTATAGACTCAGAAACAGTCATTAACAGATAGGCATACACAAAAAGGCACAGACAAGCATACACCGAATCAGACACAGGCTTACACACAGACACATGCATACAGAGATGCAGGCATTTGCAGGCACACAGAGAGGATACACAGACACTGGTATTAAATGACAGGTACGCACAGATGCAGGTATAGACACAGCCCTCAACAGACAGGAATACATAAACAGGCACAGACAAGTCTACATACAGGCACAGACGTACTCACAGACAAACACACAGACAGGTACACACATACACAAACAGGCTCACTATAAAAAACATTTTTTAAATTTTTCTACCTGAAAGAAGTGCCAGCAGCTGCCTGCAAGCCTCTCCCTCTATGTCACATACAGAGTGAGGGTGAGAAGATAGAAATTAGTTTCAATGTGTTAGTGTGCGGCTTCCACTTCAGAAGACTGGGCAGGGGAGACTGAGCAGGAGAAAGGCTGCATTGGTCTATCAGGAGAAGGACTGGGCAGGGGGGACCGAGCAGGACAAGGGCTGGGCAGGGGGGAACGAGCAGGACAAGGGCTGGGCAGGGGGGAACGAGCAGGAGAGGAACTGGATAGGGGGGACCCAAGCAGGAGAAGGAAGGGGCAGGGACACAGCAGGACAAACTGCCCCCTCCACCCCAACTGTCAGTAACTTAATAATTCTTTAGTATATTGCTAAATCAGCAATATACAAAATAACAGTAATGAGGCCCCCCAAGCTAACAAGTGCACCCCTTAACAGGCGGAATTCCAAGGCCCAGTCACAATAGCGACAGTTGCGACCTTGGTAGTTCCGCCACTGTAGAAGATTCATCAGCAGGGTCGACCGGGCAGCCTGGCCCCCTGGAGTGATGGGCCCAGATGCAGCTACGACCCTGTGACAATGGTAGTTCCGCCATTGTTATCATTCTTTGTGTCAAAGCAGGAGTGTATGTGTATGTAATGTTGATGTGTGTAAATACTACCATACAATTTGTGTAGTGCCACAGAGTATAAGATGAAGATGTTTACTTGCATGTAGCGTAAATGTGTAAGTGCACTGTTTTGAGTGAGTAGAGTAGATGTTTGTAAAAGCAGGAGGGAATATGTATGGAATGTTGATGTGTGAATGTAAGGGTGTATTCATGTTGAATGTTATTGCAGAGATGTATTTTAGTGAAGGACTTTTGCTTATGAACACAGGGGACTGTTGGTGTTTATATTAGTGTGGAAAGCCTGTGTATGAATGCAGGGATAGATTTGTATGGATTGTCTGTGGGTGAATGCGGTATGTTTGAGCAGTGTATATGTGAATGAAGGAGTGTATTTTTATGTGTGCACCGTGTAGGCATGTGTGAATAAGGGGTGTATCAGACATCTGTCAGTATGTGTGTGTGTGTGTGTGTGTGTGTGTGTGTGTATGAGGGGTGTATCTAAAATCTGTGTCAGTGTGTGAATGAGATTTGTATTTGAAGCCTGTGTGTATGAAAAAGAGGTGTATTTGAAATCTGTCAATGTGTGCGAATGAGGAGTGCATTTGAAATCAGTGTCAGCATGTGTGTAATGAGTTAGCTTTATATTCTACAAGTGGTTGTTTTTTTGATTGACCAACCTCCTTCTGACTTTCTGTCTCCCTCAATATTAACTAATAAGTATGTGTGTCTTCCAATTATTTCCCTCTTTTATTTGTCACCCCTTGTCTCCCCTTTCTCTAACACTACTTGTCACCTATCTGGCCAGCTTCTGTCCCTCTCACCCCCACTCAGCTGTTTCTCTGCTTCACTTCACACGTCTTCTTCCCAACAACCCACTTCTGCCCCCCATAGTTGTCTTCCATCTCACTCAATTCTTTAACCCACACCATTCATTTGTATCTCCCCCATCTACCTCACATGTATCTAACATAATGCCCTGTCTCACCCCTACATCCCACATATGCTCCTTTCACCCCTAGCCTGCTTACCTGTACCAAGCTGATGTTTTTCCTCCCTCGTTCTCCTCAAGCAGCACCAGAGAGGCCAGGATCCTCTTCTCACTATTCATGCATGCTGTAAGTTTGCTCCATGTGAGAGGGGAGCAGGGGGTTTGATGTCGCTTCCTGCCCCATCCCATCCTCACACGGAGCACTGCCGGGAGAGAGAGGAGACCTGGCAGTGAGAGCTTGTATGCTGCCAGGTCTCACATTGATGGGGGGTTTATTTACAGAGTGATGGGTTGCAGGGGCCCTTCGAGTCATTATGGGCCCCCAGTAACCTCTCACTGGCTTTGTTTTTGTTTAACTTCCTTCTGGCTGAGGAGATCTCTGATCTCCACAGCAGAAGCATGGTTGTGCTGCCGGGCCCCCTGACTGACTCGGGCGCCTGGTCCATGACCGATCTGTCCGAGTGGTCAGTCCGCCCCTGCCAACAGTATTTATGCTATTAAAATCTATAAAATATAGCTACAGGAAGGTAAAAATACAAAAGTTCACAGTAATATACAATATAAATATAAAGTGCAGCTTGTTAGTAACTCTAAAATAAAGTATTGGGCAATAAGAATTCAAAAGTCCACAGTAAAGTCCAATGTAGATATAAAATGAAACTTGCAAGAAAAACAGGCCAGGTTTTGGAGGATATTCCTCTTGTGCAGAATCTTGGAATCAGAAGTGGCTTGGAATTCGTGTAGGTGTGTTAAACAGAAAGAGAAAGCCAATAGTGCAGTATGTCCCAAACAACTGAACTGCATAATTAGTGTAGAAAGAAGGTATTCACATTTACCAGAGCTCAAACCAGCTCTAGTATATAGGGAGTGGAGTTGTATGATCCCCGCTTCTAGGATATGTGAGTTGATGTAGTGCTTAGATTTTCTTTTCAATATAGGGATAATAGGACCCCCCAAAAAAACAGATAAAAAATAGTGCTCTCTGTATATATTAAAACAGGAGTAAAATAGAAAATAAATCTTACTTTTATTGAGCAGGCTAACCGCTCAATGTGTAGTGCACAGGTGGTAATATCCCCACCCTTGATTCTTTGGAGTGATCCTCACTGCAGGGCTGCCCTCCTTGCTGCTGTGTGAGGTGGGTGACAATGAGGGATGGGGTTTAATTAGTCTGCCTGTCACTGCCTGTACCCCGGTATGTCGATAGCGCTGGCAGTTATCGCCGTCTCCTCCAGCTGCCTCCTATTAACCCACGGGGAGGATCCTGCTATAGCACATACATTAGCTGTTGTATTTGTATTGTGATTTATTTAAATCTAAAGGTCCACTATAGCCACCCAGGAAACTTAATCTCAATGATGTTGCAGCTCATAGGAAATCATTGGATTCAATCCTTTCCTATGAGAAGCATTGCGTATGTGTATCAGGTCCAAAATGCTCTTTTATGAGGAGCATTGATCTGGAGTTCTGGACCATCGCCTGAGGCCAGCAGCGCTGAGAGAGTCTCGGGGTTGGGAAATAGTAAGTAAAAACCTTTATTTTTATGGCAAGTAGGGGGGTGGAGGGCGCACTTAACTAGAAAGGGACACTATAGTGTTAGAAATGCAAGCTTGTATTTGTAATGCTACCGTGTTCTTTTAATAACAATAGAAATTACATGAAAAAATATTTATATATTTCTGTTTTAAAACACATTTTAGAACCCCTATGATTATCATATATACATTCAAGAGATAATTATGCATATATACATTCAGTATTCACTAATATAAAGAACATTAACACAAAGCCATCATTTAATACAGGCATGCTTTAGGCAATAACATATTTCAGTTAGGCTACCATGCTGCTTTCATCATGTTTCTTCTCCCAAAGGTACTAAGAAGATTCAATATGCTACGGAAACAATATCACCAGTGACACAAAGTAATGCAGCCTCTGCACAGAATTTATTTTCTATATATATTCCTTACGAAGTTGGTATAATCTGATAGATGAATCAATCTGCCCCTTAGCCTAAGAAAACAAGGCTTTTGTAAGAATCTGCAAATAATGTAAAATAGTATATGTCACGTGATCCTGTCCACATGGGAGAATAGAGATATGCATTAGTTTATGGGGGGGGTTTCTACCATGGACAATTTTTGCTTGATAATAAATTTAGTTAACCTGGCATTGTGGTGTTCTGTAAACACATTTTTAAATCATTATATTAATTCATTTTATATAAGTAACAAATCGAAATAAGAGCTTTGCTTGCCATATTAAAATCATAAACTTCAAATGGCAAATTTAGTTGGAACTTTAAGGCATCACTCAAGCACCATATCCACTACAGCGGGCTGAAGCGGCTATTGTCCCGGGAGTGCCACGGGACACCTCCTTTGACAACTTACCTGGGGTCTTCTGAGCACTGGTCACTTCCTCCAGTGAGAGCCAGAAGTTTCTGTTAACTCTCCTTACCTAAGCCCTGGACTGCTAGCCTATCTCAGAGAAGAGAGGTTCTGTGTGATGGCTAGTACTGGAGAACCCCTGGAGCTCCAGAACCGACCTGCGTACTGTAATCAGAGTGGGTATTTTTACCGTCTAGCCAGAGATAGCTGCTTTACTGAGGTCTCTCTCCAGCCAATGCATCAATGGACACCCAGCAACACTTGGTAGGACTGTACTGCATGGGGGAGAGCAAGGAGATTGGGGCAGACTAAGTAACTATCTCTTGTTTATTACTTATACATCTACCTTATCTATTATTTAGATGTTCCTTTCTATTGTGATTCTACACCAAAAAAAGATCTATAATCTGAATATAAAATGAACATATTTAGCAGTTTTTTCCTTTGTTTGTTGTATTTCTGATGTTTTTTTGCAAACATTTCCAGTTATATATAGAGCCTGCAGTGCATCAATATATATGACCACATGCACTATAGTCCATATATTCCACCAGGTTCTTAAAGCTTTATCATTCACTTAGGTGAATTAGCCCATTATCTCCCATCGTACATCAGCTGTACCAGAACTGATCTGTCCTGTCTGACAGATAGATAGAAACTCTGCTGTACAGCTAGATAATATTCTACAGATGCATTATTTCTTCCACTTATCTGCAGATGCACATAAGACACAGAGAGCACCTTTAAATGAGAGCACTACATTAATGCATCTAATAGTCGTGCTTTGTATATAAATAAAATAAAAATAAAAAATTTAAATTTATTTTCAAGTGTAGCGCTGCCTTCCTGATGCTCATCCTACGTTATATGAATTAAATAACAGATTCCTAAGTTCCTAGAACCTTACTTAAAAGCAGGAATTTCTTATTTAGGTGGATTTGTGTTGGTTTTTAAGAAAAGCTCATTATACATCATTCCGTTCGGCATTCCACAGATGTTAGCTATTACTGCAACTTACTCAATGGATATTTCTCTACTTAAATTTTCATTAACTTATATTAATTTCATGGGTGCACAAAGGCTACCTTACATAGCAACAGAGTAACATTGGTTAACTCCTTCAAAACCCACTTTGCGTATAAACGTATTTTGCAGTATGAAATCTAGTCCATAAAGCTTCAGTCTCAAATATACTCTGGTTATGTTAACCAGCCTGTTGAAGAACAAATTTCTCTGCAAGAAGCGATTGGTTGCTGATACAGTGCTTGTAAATTTGCTGAAAATGTAAGCGCATGCCCTGCTTACAAAAAGTACAGGACGATTCAATGGGTCATATTATTCCTATAGTCAGGCATATGTAAAAAACAAAATGTGTAAATTTACTTAATTTAGATTTTTAAGTTTGTCTGCAAAGCAATATGTAAACAAAAGTGCTGTGTTTTTATATGTTTATATGCTTGCTATGCATCCCTTGCTTTCAATAAATGTGATGCTAATATATTTTCGGCCACATTCTCGAAAATGAAGGAGTTAAACAAGAATCATGTGCATTACCATCCGCCCGTCACATATCGTTGTTGCTGTTGTTGATCCAAAGGCCAAACAATCCAACTTGATGAAATCTCAACTTGTGCTCCACAAAGGGAATTAAAGATTGACTCCTTTTCAGTCAATCAGATCTCTCATTGGATAAACAAACTATAATCCTTATAATAAATTGTAACAGTCATTTCCGCTCCAGATCTGTTACCTTTTTAAATGACAACTATTCACATTTAATAAAACAACCTTTCTATACAGATATTTCATTGGCTGTATTTTTCTCACTGTAAAGAAGCCTTTCTCTGATGTGTTATTTTCCACTTAAAGGAATACTGTAAGCACCATAACCACTACAGGCCACTGTACCCTCCCAGAGTAATTTGACAAACCATTTTTGAAGGTTTTTTTGACAATTTACCTGGGACTTGGCCAGTACCTATGGCTGCAGAAGCTGATTCCAGATTCTCTCTGCAGGAAAATACAATTAGCTCCACTGAGATAAGCAGGGCCATGTAGAACAGTGTTCATTGACTGATAATGTCACTGAGTGCTCTCAACCACTATGCAAGGCTTTACATTAGAACTGCTTTGCTCAATAAAGACATCCGTCCGGGAGACTGGAATTCTCCAGGAAAACCAGGTAAATTGTCAGACCATTCTAACAGATTCAACATGTCACTATGAAAGGGCACCACGGTACTCTTGATCAGCATGTTTAAATTTATATGAATACATTCAATCTATGAAATCCAGTGTTCAGGATAAGTCTCTCCGTGAAGTTCCTTACTAGTGTCTAATGCACACTGTAAGTGTAATGGTCTTACCACAGATAGTGACCTCCTAAAGGCTGCCCCAGTAATGTAATCACAGAGTGGACTGAGATATTGCTAGGTTCCTTAGACATAATGCAGTCCACCACTACTCTGTGTAAGGCTTACTCTGGTTTCAGACCACAGTGACAGCATATCTTATCAACTGGATGCTTCAATTCATAGTGCAATGCTACAGACAACTAGTACTGCCAGGATAAATCTGCACTACCCTGGATAGAACAAAATAGTCCAAGTTGTATCATTTTTCACATGGTATGCTATGATGGGATTCATTGGCATTTGGGGTCTAATATTTTGCCACAAAGGTGACACATGCCCAGTAAACCAGACTGTCAAAACTAAAAGTCTGAATTCTGGATATTAGAAGTGACAGACCTGCAATTCACTTATAAAAATGAAAGTGTATGCCAATAAGTGAACA